TAGGGCGTAGCCCAGCAGAGTCAGGTTCAATGAATGGTAGGACTGCTCCTTCTTATTATCAGCAAGTTTAACTGATACAGATTATAAACAGGTTGGGAAACAACCTGAAGTTCCATGCATCTTAAAGACATGTTGGAAAAAGATGAAGTCCAGAAAAGCAGAAGGGTCTGAGAAAAGGACAGCACAGGAGCCCATTTCGATGTTTATCTGTGGTCCCCTGAGCTACTATGTGGCTCTGTGACCCTGCGAGTATCAGGTGGTGTAGACACAGATGTTCTCATGCCACATGCTATCCAGGCTTCTGAGTCCATCTGCAAGCAGAGCTTGGTGACATGGCACACAGGCTATCATCCACCTGTGGAGGAGACGCAGGTGTGTGTAATCCTGGCTCGGGGTGGGGGAGGAGCCTGCAAAGAAGGTGATCAAGGGCCACTCAGGACAATGGAGAAACCACTCAGCCCTGGGAAAAGACTTGCGAGAGAAACCAGAAGACACAGGTCCTAGAACAAATCTGAGACTTTGGCCAAGTCTCTTAACCTCTTGTGCCTTGGTTTATTTATCCTTCTAGCAGGTAAAGCGATCCTTGCCCTGTCTTCCTCCCTGATCTTGGAGGGGACCAGTAAAACAATGGATGTGTAAGTGTTTTATAAACTCTGTAACAGAAGCAAATGGTGTGAGGGGATAGGAGTGGGGAGGTGGGGACTGAGGCATATTTTCACCAGTGACATGAATAAGGAGATGAAGAAAAGGCTCAGGACTTCAGGGAATGCAAGAGGAACTGGACTTTGGAGTGGGAGAGGGAAGCAATGATAGGGTCAGGATCCTCGAAGGCCAAGGATCAAGGGGTTAAGAGTCCATGAGGACAGACCTGAATCATCAGGAAGATGAGCGTATTAAGAGTGTGGCTTCAGGGTGCCTGGGTGGCTCAGTAGGTCAAAGCGTCTTCCTTGGGCTCAGGTCTTGATCCTGAGGTCCTGGGATTGGGCCCCCCAAACTCCTGCATCAGGCTCCCTGCTCAGGAAGGAGCTTGCTTCTCCCTCTCCTGCTCCCCCTGCTTATATGCTCTCTCTCTCTTTCTGTCTGTGTCAAATGGATAAATAAAATCTTAAAAAAATAAATAAAAGAGTGGGCTTCTTTGGGACTTGGGGTGGAGTAGAGTCATCTCAAGATCACAGTAGCTCAGGGCTTGGAAACATCACCGAGGCAGAGCTATAGCCAGAGCTGAGATGGCCTGCAGAAGAGAACACCCATCTATGGGATTCAGGGGCTGGACACAACCTTAGAAATCACCTTGGAGAGTCATTTTCCAACTTCTTTTCTTTTTGGACAGAGAGAACCTAGGTGACCTCTGAGGTTCCACAAAGTAGAATTCTCAAATCCCTGGTTGAGCCCCATTATTTTAAGGAGACACAGTGGAATCCCAGAGAAGAGATGTGATTGCCCAAAGGTGACGAAGCAAGTGAGTTGCCACACTGGGACTGGAATTCATGCTTTCTGATTCCCAATCTTGGATCTTAGCTTCCAAACTGGCCCTGAGTGTAGGAAAAAACAGAGGGGCAGGTGACTTTAAGGATGTCATTTCCTAGGGGCACCTCCCCTCGGCTCCTCAACGGTGCCTGAAATCCCACTCTTACCAGCTCACTCTCAGGACTTGAAGAGTCTCAAGGTTGTCCTTGTCCCTGCCTCCCCCAGCCCCCTAGGGAAGGGGCTGCTGATTACTAACAACTGCCTTCCTTCCGGATCAAACTGGCACATCTGTCTATCCGTAGCTTCCTACCATGCGTCCCAATACTGCCTTTTGTCACATACATCCAGATCCTCTGTTACAAGCCAGCTCTTTGAGTAATTGAGGACAACCCTCATGTCGCTTTCCCCAGTGTGATTTCCACATTACGTCTCTCATTGCCGTTGGTTCTCCAGCTCTCTCTCTTCTCACTGCCCGAGCCCACTATGCTGTATGTTCTCCATCTGGTGTTCTCTCGGAATTGTTCTCTAAACACTGTGTCCAGTATACCGGGGCACAATTACTAGCGCAAGTAGGTCATTTCCTTCACCTTCACTCCCATAGCTCCATCAATCCCACCTCAGATCACAATGATTTTTCCGCATTCCACCTTCAGCCTCCCATTTAATATTATGCTAAGAAGCCACTAATTTATACACAGGCTCTCCTGAGCCACTTCTTGCCACGCCTCACACTCTGACCTTCTGTCCTTTCATTTAAAGATCTAAGAGCAGGGCCTCACCCTCCTTGACAGAAAAGTTCACCTTGTTACATTTAGCCCATGATTCTTAGCAGCCCAGATCTTTCTGGATCTCGGTTCTGTCTCTCTGGTGAATCTGTTCTCCTTCCCAGCTTCCTGCCCCCAGCAAAGAGGTCCTTTGCTCCTCTCTCCAAGTCACCGAGGCCCTTACAACGTGGGACTCGCCCCCTTGGAATGCGTGAACCTGCTCTTCCACCTCATGAGGTCTATAGGGCGTAATGAGATGGAACAAGCTCATACTAGAATATTAGGTGACTAAAGTAGGGTGCCATTAAATTCTAAAAGGCATAGTGAAAAGGAAAGGGATTATGTCAAAGAGATACGAATAGTGACCTCTGTGTAACGGGCCTGTAGGTCATTTTCCCCCCATGCTTCATTCCCCCCTTCATCCAACTCATATTTAATGAAGGCCATATGTGTGTATCTCCCAAATTTCCTATGCCAAGTATGTGTTATTTGGAAAACTAGGAAAAAGTTAAGTGAAAATAAAATGAAAAAGAATAAACACTCTTTCCCTAGGTGGACCTTGATCACTTCATCAACACTCTTTGGGGAAAAACATCTCAGCCCTCCTGTACCAAATTGTGCGCCTTCCATCTGTAATCCCCTTCCCACCCACAGCACACAAGGAGATCTCCTCCGCCTCCTCTGGGAGCCCAGGGTGTTCTCCCTCAACCAGCAACCCAAAGGAACCTTGGGAAAGAAGTACCAAGACCATGGGGGAAGGGGTGGGGGCTTGCCTTGGTGTGCAACCCAAGGTCTGAGCAATCGCCTCACGCACCTGCCCAGGTGTTGTTTCATCTAACGGAACGTGTTTAAGGCAGTTTTCCCGCCAATAGTTTTTGTAAAAAGCCTCTCGAGAGAGCATAAAGGCCATGGTCCCAGTGCGTGCAGGATTCAGAAGGACCTCCAGGTGGGGAGGATGAAGGGCCCAGCCATTAAGCGTCTGCCTTCGGCATTAAGGGGGTGTGATCCGAGGGTGCTGAGATGAAGTCCACGTCGGGCTCCCCGCTCATCAGGGAGCCTGCTGTCCCACTTCCTCTGCCCCTCCCTCCATTCAGGCGCACTCTCTCTCTCAAATAAATAAAATCTTTTAAAAAGCGGGGCGGGCAACAGAATGACCCACTTGGGGGCGCCTGGGTGGCTCAGTGGGTTAAAGCCTCTGCCTTCGGCTCAGGTCATGATCCCAGGGTCCTGGGATCGAGCCCCGCGTCGGGCTTTCTGCTCAGTGGGAAGCCTGCTTCCTCCTCTCTCTCTCTGCCTGCCTCTCTGCCTACTTGTGATCTGTCAAATAAATAAAAATCTTAAAAAAAAAAAAAAAGCGGGGCGAGCAACAGAATGACCCACTTGAGCCACTTCCAGGACTTCCTGAGGGAGGCAGGGCCGAGGTTCCCCTTTGCCCTCCTCTTTGAAGATCAAAGAAAGCCTGGAAGCGTGGGGGTCCACCTGGACGCGGGGAGATGGGACACCTGAGGCTTCACCAAGGCTAAGTTCGGACGTAGCGTTAAAACCCGGCCCTGGGTTACCCTCCTCCGACCAGCAGAGGGCGCGCGCCACCCGAGAGAAGGAGGGTGCCTCACCAAGCCACAGAGGGTGCGGAACCCGAGGAGGGGAGGGGGGTCTTTCTGAAAATCAGGATGCAGATCCACAGAAGAGATAGCGTTGGCGATAGAGGGGCGGGGGGGGGTGGGTTGTGAAGGAGAGCGAGAGGAAGTCAAAGAGAGGGTCGGCTGGGGAGGGCAGGGCAGGTGGGGAAGGAGACGAACTGGAGACAGGAAAGGTTGAGACGGCCTGCATATGAGACAGGCTGGGATGGAGGGTGGGATGGGGTGAGGTGAAGGGGCAGGTGGAAGGCAGGGTGAGGCAGGCTGGAGTCCACTAACCCGCGGTCAGTCCGGTGGGGCTGCTGCATTAGGGCGGTCTCCCTCTTGGGCTGAGCCCACCCTCCAGAGGCTCCCCTGCCCCCTGTAGCACCCAAGTCGGCTTTGGCCTCATTCTCTCCAACTCCTCCTTGTAAAGCCTTTCTGCTCAGGCCTAAGCTGGGCATCTCCTTTCCCCCTGAAAAAAAGTTCGGGTGCATCAAAGAACACAAAGAGGAGCCAGTAGGGAACTTGGGAGCTTTAATGGGTCTGGAAGGGAATAGAAACACACCAGGCCATCCAGAGAGAGGGGGAGAGAGAGAGGGAGAGAGAGGAAGGGAGGGCGCGGAAGCTACCTAGATGAGTCCCAGGGGCAGGGAGCCTCACCAAACCGGTGAAGTCCCGGAGGTCAAGGAGCAGGTAGGCTGTGTGAGGCCGCTATCACTCTAGGACGGGGCAGCTCGGTAGGAGAAAGAAAAAACGAGAAAAGACTTGGAATTCGAAAAAGAGAGGTTATAACGGAAGGGGCTTCCAGGAGCCAGGCAGACGTACAGGTGGAGGGCAGAAAAAGACACGGGAGGTCCCGCAACCCCCTTGAGGGCTCTGGGGCCATGAAGATGGAGGTTAAAGAAAGCCGGTGTGTGTGTGTGGGGGGGGTGGTTACAACGAGGTGGCGGGAGGCGGTGGCAAATCCAAAGTTAAAAGAAGACAGAGGAGGCTTCAGGTCCCTTCCCCCCGGGGCTGGGTGCTGCGACGGAGGAAAATCTAAGATCAAAGGAACAGTCGGGGAGGCTCCCGGCCCCTTTCCCGGGTGTGGATGGGACCGAGCGAGGCTCTGGGCGCCCGGGAGAGGCCGCGCGGCACGGGGCCGCCCCGTCTAGTGGTAGTGGCCCCCCAAGTGCGAGGCGGCGGCCACCGCGCCGAAGGGCCCGGGCGGGGGCTGCAAGCCGGGGCTGGGGTAGAGGGCTGCGGTGGCGGCGGCGGCGGTGGCGGCGGGGCCCGGGCCCGGCCAGTAGGAGAAGCCCGCGGGCGCGACGCCGGCCGAGGCGGCCATAAGGTTGAGTTTGGAGAGGCCCGGGAAGGGCAGCGGGGCGAGGCCCGCAGGCAGCTTGTAGAGCGCGCCGTCCTGGGCGGCTGCGGCGGCGGCGGCGGCTGCGGCGGCGGCGTGGGCGTGCGCGGGAGGCGGCTGGCAGGCCTGGGCCAGACCCTGGAAGTCGAAGCGGTAGGCGTAGCGCTTGCCGTGCACCTTGCTCATGATGTTCTTGTCGTAGTAGTAGCGCAGCGCGCGGCTCAGCTTGTCATAGTTCATGTTGGGCTTGCTCTTGCGCTCGCCCCAGCGCCGCGCCACCTCGTCTGGGTCCGTGAGCTTGAACTCGCCGTGGCCGCCCTCCCACGCGATGCAGCCGGCGTTGGCGCGGTCCGCCAGAAGCTCCAGCAGAAACTGCCACAGCTGGATCTGCCCGCTGCCTGTGGGGAGGGGGCGGTCAACCAGGCACGGGACGGGGGAGGCAGGAGGGAGGGCAAAAGGTGAGGCGGCAGACAGAGCGGGAGGGTGGGAACCGGCGTCGGGGAGGGGAAAAGGGCGCGTTGGGCAGGGACAGGGTAGCCGGGCGCCACTGCAGCCCCTGGCCCTTTTGCCCTCCCTCCTGCCTCCCCCGTCCCGTGCCTGGTTGACCG